GGAATTTTCGAGAAAAACAAAATTTGTATTTTTCAGAAAAGGGATGATAAATATACTAAGTACAGTGTCACGAGTCTGACTAGGGACGATTGCATCCGTAGGACTATAAATCACTCATTTTGACGGTAAACTTTATTTCCAAAACAGATATGAATATTATTAAGAAATAAAAATTCCCTTATCTTTAAAGTTGACCTTTTACAGATTATTGACTCATTGAAAAGTTCTTGAAATATTACATAGTGAACCACACATTCTTTCAATTATTGACTCTAAAAATATCGTGTTGCACCTTAGTAATCTGAACAGGAACGGATCGTATCTCATATATTATAAACTGTTTTTATTTTGTATAACTTTAGATTTGATTAGAATAACGCTTTGCTTGCTGCAAGATTTGGACGAAACCATACACATCACCAAGCTGGACGCTAAACCATTCTACATTCAAAAGAAAATATTTATAAATTGTTTTTGTATATACATGTAGTCGCTTTCATTGACAAGTGTTTGATATAAACAAACAACCACATTTCCTGTAAACTTAACAATCTTGTTTGATTATCATTATCCTCAATACTATCCAGTGTTAAGGTTTTAAATGGTTTCTTAAAGCTTAATCAGTCCTAACATCTTGAATCACAATCAGTTTAAACATTACAATCAAAATATTTGTTCATAAATTGTTAAGAGATGATGTGTTTATTACAAAAGTGACATATATCACAGTAAAACTCCAAAACATTCAAAAATTAAATATACATACACGTGCGACCTAGAGGGAAGCAATAATCAGTTTTGCGAATAACAGTCGCAGGCTCGAGGTCACAAGTCTGACTTGTTAATGGTACATGTCATGCATATTACGCTTAAGGGATTTCACTTGAATTAAGGACAGTCGTTATAGTTCCTACAAATGTAGTAAAACACGAACTTCTATGAGGTCCAGTCACCGATATTAGAGTGTTAGTCATGATTTCATATCAAAAGGTTAAAGACTTTGGGTTTGTTTTCAATTACTGCGGTTGCACGCAATTCATCTGAGCACAATAGCTCCATTTATACGACTTGTGATACCCTGTTATACAGACGACTGTGCTATTGTTAGACCTAGCTTATAAATCTCCCTCTCTCTCTCGTTTTTACTGGTGGGAATAAAGGCAAAGTGTGTCTGACAGTAAAACAAATGGTCTCAGTACAATAATGGTGTCTTTAATACTCTGGTCACGGCACAGTTACTGTAATATTTCGTATTTACGACTTGTGGTCAATTTTGTGACCTATATATGTATACATATTTAAGCAAACCTTGACCTTATTCGGATAAGGACGGAAACGGCTCGACCTGAATGTCACTGAGTTTCCCACGGTATACATGCTTTCTCGAAAATCTACACTTTCTTTTAAGTAGAGACTTAAGGAAAATCTACGCGCTCTTGAAGTAGATGCTTAACCACTTGCCAATGAACAATGTATCCGAATAGCCTTTTTTGGAAGAAATTACAAAGGTCACGTGATAATAAAAATGTGGCCAGGGGGCTACTGATATAAATCTTTGTCAAACAGAAATTAACATAGTATTACATCCTTGATGACTATTTTATCTTTTGACCTTAAATCACCTAGTGTTACAATTATGTTATGTCAGAAGAAGATTGAGGATAAAAGGTATTAAAGAAAAATAAATACAAGTTTAATGCTTGAAATGGATTTAAAAGATCTTAATAGCTAATTAATAATAAAAAGTCAATTTGGAACAGTATTGGAAGTCTTGTATAAGACATAAAAAGCAAAGTTTTTTTATATAGGGGCGAATTTAGTGTCCCCGTTATTTGGTTATGCAGAAGCAAATACTTTTTATTATTTTTTTTTATCCCCTTTCAAAATCCTGGTTTGCCCCTGAAAAAGGCCGCGATGTAACGGTTAATCATTGGCAGTTATCAGTGGTACTTAAAGAAATATGAGATTCATGCTAAGGGGCGAGGAGTTACAGCTCACCGACAGTTATAATTACCTGGGATTATTAATAAGATACAATTGTAATTTTAATTTATCAAAGAAAAAACTTGTTGAACAATCACAAAAAGCACTGTATGCATTATACTATAAGTTAAGAAATGTAAACATCCCTTCAGATCTGCAGTTTCGACTATTTGATTGTATGGTCGCTCCAATTTTACTTTATGGGTCGGCAATTTGGGGTCATGAAAATGTTGACATGATTGAAAAGGTGCACTTAAGTTTCCTAAAAAGAGTCTTGAATGTTAGATCAACAACACCAAATTATATGGTCTATGGGGAAACTGGCAGATTTCCATTAAAAATTAATATCAAAACTAAATTACTATGCTTTTGGTCAAGGCTAGTGCAAAGCGGTAGTAACAAATTATCTGGGATATTGTATCAGTTAATGTATAACTTACATAACTCAGGCCAATACTCATTTAAATGGTTAGCTTCCCTGAAACAAATTTTTGATGATACAGGATTTTCTTTTGTCTGGAATGCACAGGGTGGTATCAAAATTTCGAATATTAAAAAAGAAATAAAACAGAGATTGGTTGACCAATTCGGACAGAGTCTATCTACTGATATGACAAACTCATCTAGAGGTGTGTTTTATGCTTCATACAAAACAATGTTTTGTGTAGAGCCATATTTACTCAATCTTAAAGTGGCAGATCGATACATCTACAGTAAATTTAGATGTTCAAATATCAAAATCCCTATCGAAGTTGGTCGGTGGAAAAATACACCAAGAGAAAATCGTATATGTTGTCACTGCGATTCAAATACAATTGGTGACGAATATCATTATTTTTTTGTATGTTCCAATGAACAAATTATGTCTTTAAGAGAAAGGTATATACCTACATATTACACAAAAAATCCTTCCCAATTGAAATTTACTGGTCTATTAGCACACTGTAACGTGCCAGTGCTAACAAAAGTGTGCATGTTTCTAAGACATATTGAAAAATTATTTTCATAATTCTCATAATTCATAGCATGTTACAATAACTTCATATCCACGTTGCAATTAAGAATTTTGCAAACAAATCAACCAAATATGGTATATTTCAGTTTTATTGTATGATATCACTTATTTATTTATTGTGTGTCTTGCTTGTAAATGTATAAGTATATATGTAATTGTTAATGTATAATTGTTATCCTCTTGTAGCACCATACGTGTGCCTAAGTTGTAAATAAATTGTATTGTATTGTATTGTAAAATTTTAACTCAAGTGCATGATGCATATATGTACTAAAACTGGACCAGTTTTCTCACTATAAGACAGATAAGCCATGAATTTATAAAGCCTTTCTAATTTCTCCCATAAAACCAACAAAAAAATGACCAATAATTCCGAAGCAAGCCTGAATGATGGTAAAGTATCGTTTTGTGTAAGTTGGAAGTATTCAAAACCTATGTAGACTTTCGGGCGACCAAGACAGGATGAAAATGAATATTCTGCCCCACAATTTACAGGAAATAATTGTAAAATATCCGAGTGCCTTAGCCAAAGAAAAAATAATCGCCCACCTAGCAATAAATAACTGTATGATACATGTGTTTTTGTCAATATCTGGTGGCTTGTGAACTGTTACATTTGTCGTATATTAACTGACCAGTACATGTCAATCAAATGAACCTCAGTCTTGCATAGAACTATTTAAACGTATAGATTGTTTCAAAGTTTTTTCAAATTTTGTTTTTTGTCCTGTAAACACAAACTGCTGCAGTTTTAAAACCCTGCAGAGTCTACAAACAAATAAAACTATTGTTGTAATTATTTCTTGCATATATATATTTTAAACTACATTTCTGTTTCAATACATTTTACAACTGTAAATTTGTAAAAATATTGATTAATCTCAACTACGTGTAATGCATTTATAAATGAAATATCATTTATTATAAAATCATGCAATTAATCATAAATTCTACAACCGAAATACGACGTAAAATACATCAATTTCAAAATTCTTCAATATTGTTTATGAAATATTTAATTCATTCACAAAAGAATGATTGATGAATGTGAACTGATACATATGCTGTATTCCTGGTTTGGTTTTGTTCCTTTCATCAAATTCGTGTTCAAATCAATTTTGTTGTAAATAAATTACAATTTAATCGACCACCGAAACCTGACAGTGTGAAACATTACCGTAATGTTAAAATTGATTAAATAATTTTTGTATATTCTTAATAAAAGTTGACAGATAAAATGTGTGTTGTCTCATTACAAACGACGAAGGACTGACTATCTTTACTACTAACAAGGTTGATAGGGTACAGGCCAGTCACTATGCAATTCTGATCGTTTGAAAAGAAGTCATTGTTTGAAAAAAAATAAAAGTACATTTATGTAAAAAAAAAAAAAAACAATTCGTCTTTTTAATTACATCAGAGAGTTGTATTTTATACACACATTGCCAAAACAAAACCGTCATTGTGATGTTTTAATGGTATACCCCCAGGCTTCGCTTTGACACATTAAACATGTATATCGTCTAAGTTTTGTATCTATACCAGTTCGTTCTGACTTGGACTTTATAATGTTTACATTTTTCTCAGACGAATTCTGCTTTGCCTTAATTCAAGGTATTACAACTACTAAAGTGTCTGGTAATTTTGTTTCTTATACTTGACAAGAGTAAATACACCAAAGTGGTTTTTTCTATACACTTCATTTATGTACGAATTAACAAACTATGTGTTTATACGTTAAGAAGTGGTAGGAAGAAAAGAATAATTTTCCGTTGTTTACACATAGCCTGTCGATACAATTTGAAGAGGGTGACTGGTTAATCATCACGAGTTACGTGTTAGTAATCATTTTAACAATAATAAACAATTTAATAATTTAAACAATGAACAAGGGACTATACGCACTTTTTAAATGATTACAAACTTTTTTGGAAGAAGGACTACAGTTTGTACTGCGGTGTCTTATCTTTGTCTATTAATGTTAAGTCTCGTCTATACCTACCTTGTACATTTTGAGTGCTTCTTGAACACTTGATTGACTAGATTCTGTACCATTTGAGGTTCAGCTGATATACCCTGGGCCCTTTGCTTCCTAGGTCCTTTTGTAGCTTGCTTAAAAGTTTGACCAAATACACTTTGATATTTATCCAACTGACTGCGAAGTTCTTGAAGTTGTTCGTCCTTTTCGGACAGTTGTTTTTGTAATTCCATAATTTTTTCATCCTTTCCTTTAATCAGAATTTGTAAATCATGCACGGTGGTCATTTTACGATTATTATTATCCAGATCAGAGCTTCTACCGACTCTTGGCGGACTCATAGAGCCGGCTCTTACTGAATTCAATTTGAAACTCATTTTACTATAAAATGCACACGAAAAGAATAATCACTCTTATTAACTTCCTTCACACCATTTATCTATCATTCACATAATAATACACAAACAAAAAGATACGAGTTTAAGTTGAAACAGACAACGATAATAGATTCCCAGAGTACAGAGAACGCACAGCTGATTACAACATTGTAATGTACACCGATATTTTTTTTGTACGACCATATGTCACATGACCTGAAGATTACAACCAAGGGCAGGTAGTGTAAATCGAATTTGGCTTGTCTTTCATTCTTTTTGGACAAATTTAATTTACCTGTGGCGTATTGTACATAAATAACCATTTAATTACACGAAAACTTTTAAATCTTCTTAAATCCAACATCACTTAAAGTTCAGGAAAAGAAATTAGTTTTCGACTGCTGTCAAATCGAAGTTAATCATAGTGATCAAGAGATCATTTAGAGCAGTGTTTGATAAATATTCTCCAAGTTACTTAATTTCTGTGCAACAACGAAAATATTATTAAAATTCCTTTTCCACGCACATTTCCCTTTTATGAAAACGTTCCCCTTAGATTGTGTATTTCAAAGAATTGTTACAATGTTAACGGGATTTAAAATCGTTTTCAATTTAATTTACTTTTAATTGTTTATATCTTTATCAACGGAAATCAACGTAAAGGATGGTCTTTGAAGTAAAAGTACAAACACAAATGATGGGATGCTTTAATACTTAGCCAAAATGAAGTTTAAGTTGATCTATTTTCAAAAATATAATAACTAGCATATAGGCCTGCGTGCTTGTTTTCAAGTCACAATCTGCGCAAAATTCTCATATTTTATAAGAATAATTACAGTCAGACGAAGTAGTACTATTATGTGATTACAAAAGGGGAGGCTGGGTTATGAAATATACATTATACGAGAAGAAAGTTCAGTCTTATAAATGCTTACGTTAGGAAATAAGAAGAAAACATGGTTACCATACTCGTCCACATAACAAAAATGATATATTAACAGTATACATTCTTTAAAAGAACTGAATTATCTGATATTATACACACAATGACAATCGGCAATAAAAGTGCGGTGGAAAAATATTTAAAGTATCATCAACAAATTAACAATAAATCCGATAAGTAAGTTCTTCAAAGTCGATACTCTGGCCAGAAAGTTTTAGACTACCAGTGAAAAAAAAATTGACCTCTTCATAGGCCTCCTGCTGACTAAGAAAACGACACAAGAATTATTACCCGCAAAACCAGGATTGATACTGCCAAAATCCGGTTTTAATTATAGAATTTAGAAGACTGAAATTATTATAGAATTTTGAATATAGAAAAAATATATTTGAGAGAATCCGTCAGACTCAATGCCCTAATTGTAGAAAGGATGTGATTTTTTAATATTTTTTTACAATTCATAACAGTTATAGTTTTTGCTGTTCTGTTTACTTGGCCCTTTACTCCTACACATTTAAAGGTTAAAAGAAGTATTTGCAGTTCAAGGTAATCCGGAGTTCATTGGTATTTGTCAAATACAACGACATCCGTTACAGAAGCTCAGACGATAAATATTCGGGGTTGTATCCCACATTTTGTCCATCACACTACTACTGGTATATATTTTCATGTTCATTGCCTTGATACCAGTCACATGATATGACATTGGAATTTTATGGGGATTTTGTTGTGCATAACAAGAGATTCTTTCCGTGTAACATCAGACTTAACTAAAGTCTAACTCAAGTTGCAATTGTGTGAACGATCAACCAACATTGTTTGTGATTTCGGGGAAGTATACCACATGGAATAGCAACAATGACAAAAAGCACCAAAAGACATATACATTTTGAAGTAAACAAAAGGTTGTCAACATTAAACAAGTGTTTACACAATATGTCAGGCTCAAAATCGCACATCTGTGGAAAAAAATGACATATTGATTATTTGATATTAGCGTAAAATACAAAATATTCAAAGCAAGTAGTTCTCCCTTAAGCAGTCATCAAAATATTAATAATACAAATAAAAAATGATTTGTTGTTCTTTATTTGCTTGTTTATTCATATTTATTTCAATAAGCGCCAAAAGGTCATCAAAATCAAGATTAAAAGGCAATAACTCCTATAAGGAATCGTTGGCTTTCCATACATTTTCCCTGATAAGATTTACTATACTACAGTTTTAGAGATATTAAACAATAATTATTGTGTTTTGGTTAAAAGATAGTGAAATATTGTTTTGTAAATCTTGTACTACTAATATTTTCTGCTGTTGCATTTTTTTTTACATCTATTATAGTTTTCAAGCTATAAGGCAAAGACGCCAAAAAACTGGTAAAAAACTTTCATTTAAGGGCAATAAACCTTTCATCTTTTCTGCAATTTATTGTTTTAGTGCTGTCTATCTATTTTAGTATTCAAGATAATACACAAAAGCGATGTAAATGGTCAAAATTCACATTTTAGAGCAATAACTCCAATAATGAGTCGATTCATGGTTTCAAGTGGGAGGCTTATCTAGCTATAAAACCAGGTTTACTCTGACCCACCATTTTCTTCGAAAAATGCCAGTACCAAGTCAGGAATATGGCAATTGTTTTCACTTGTTCCGTTGATTGATAGCGTTTGATTTTGTCAGTTTTTATAATTTTCTCTTTTTTAAATTTTCCTTGAAGTTCGGTATTTTTGTTATACTTTTTTTTAGTTACATTGCTATTTTTGCTGATCCTTCATCTCCTTTAAACATGTTTGGTTTTTAAAAAGGTTGTCATACTTCAGCATTATATAAATACTTATTGACAGTCAAACCAATTTCATTGGCAATCAAACCACATCTCCTTATTTTTATACTTAGATAAAAGAAAAAAGTACATATACTGTATATTAATTAAGTTTGACAATATAGGTCTTAAACTGTCTGATCATTTTCTTTTAATTGTTGCATTCAAATGAAGGATATAAAATGAATTTAGTTTGATAAATGGAAGCTTCATACGCGATTTAAACCTAACTTTTACTGAACGAATGTGACTTACCAGTAGAATATACTGGTTATGTCAAAACCAGGAGGAAATATAAAGCTATGCTCAAGGGAGAATAGAAATAATCGAAATACAGAGGACAATACACAACGAGACAACGCATAAGCAAATTGACAGTTGTATTTGACTGTAGTCAGTATATTGACCTCTGCTTCAATTTTATTTTGTTGTTAGAATGTTGTCTCATTGATAGTAATCATATATTGTCTTTTTTGTATGAACATACAATATATTAGTCCATTGGAAATAAGTTTGGTTCTCAGACGAAATTATACAAATTAAAGTACCAATTTATTCATTTAAAGCTTTTCATTTTAAGGAGGATTTTATTTTCAAGATTCGAAATTAGTCATTGAAGACTAGTCAGCTTTTACATTAGTAGGTTGATTATAATCATTTATTTTATACTTAGTAGTAAATATAAGTAAATAATATGTGTTATGCAATCAATGTCAATCATTCTGTATCAGCCATCCTCTATGATATCGAGTAGAGCTCTTGTGATTATATTGCTGTCTCGGGTTGATACGGATGTGATATTGAAAAAAACATACGATATTCTCTATTTGCTTGAACATTAAGCAAATATGTTATCTCTGGTTCATTTTTATCAAAATTCACTATGATAATGATAAAACTAAAAGGGTACAAATTCGTCATTCCTTGGTATTTTTGGCCATTATCAGGTTAAAAAATGTTTTGAACAAAAAGTGTGACCTTAGCATAAAATTTAAGAGTACTCCTTTAAAATTATGAAACATATACTGTCATATGTAAATTGTTAAACAAGGTCATATTTAGTTTCACTTTATCTCTGGGGACAAAAATATGTCACTTTTAGTGGCGTTGATCCATTCATGTGACGTGCAGTTTGTGGTATCCTGTGCTGTCGTTAATGGGAGATGTCCGTTGTTATTCTGCGGTTTACATGTTGTAATGTACTATTATATTATTTATTTATGCATTTCTCTGTGCTGAGTGTTCTTGCGTTTGTTTGTACTGTATTCCTGTCACACAGTGTTGTCATTTTAGCGATGTATTTTAACATTGCTATATAAACGGGAGGTTTGGCTAGCCATAAAACCAGGTTCAACCCACCATTTTTTCTTAAAATGTCCTGTACCAAGTCAGGAATATGGCAGTTGTTATCAAATAGTCCGTTCAAGTTCTATGTATGTTGGCGTTTGTTTTTGTTGCAGTTTAGTGTTTCTGTTGTTCCGTTGATGTGTTTCCCTCGGTTTTGTATTGTAACCCGGATTTGTTTTCTCTTAATCGATTTATGACTTTTGAACAGCGGTATACTGCTGTTGCCTTTATTGGGTACTCAAAAAGTACTTACCCTGTTTCTAGTTTGGATGTTTTTTTTACTTGGTGATGGGGTTTTGTTTCAAGTTAAACGACAGAGAGTGTTTCTTCAGAAGAGACAAACAAGGACTATCAAATTTTCTTTCCCAATACTATTTCGATAACAAAAATTTGATTTCGTTGTTTATATCACTTATACCTTTTATTTGAAACGAAAAACCAACATTAAAAAAGAGATACAAAGGCACAGTGTCATTTGAGTACCTACAAAAGATAAGGGTAGGACGAACAGCATTGGGAGCAGGAAGGCTTAGATATCTTAAAAAAAAATAGAAAGTAGTGATCGTTATAAAATGAAAGCTGGAGTAGAAAAATTAAAAATGTTTTTAAAAAAAGATGTAAATACAACAATTGCATCTGTTAAAAAAGTGGTAGGTGATGATACAGAGAAGGAAAATGGTGGTAGTAATAAAATGGACCATTACATAAAATTATTTTTGAAAAAAAGGATCTGGTCAGAGAAACAGAACTTGGACACTGCAGAACAAAAGCATCAGAAGAAGACATGATTTTTTTATTAGTAGTTATTGGGTTTGAACTAGCTTTCAGAAATTACGAGAACTCTCAGATCTATACTTTGTGTCTTGAGTGTTTTTGTTAATTGTTTTTATGCTTTGTATTGTTCTGATGAGTTAAGTCTTTTTTAACTTATTTTTATAGTTATTTTTTATGTTGTGCTGTTACACAACCGTCACAGGTAAGGGGAAGGTTGTGCGCCCGCAAACATGTTTAACCCAGCCCCATTCTTTATGTTACTGTCACAAGTCAGGAGTATGTAATTCAGTGGTTGTCGTTTGCTGCTGTATATCCTATTTGCTTTTCGTTTATTGTTTTGTACATAAATCAG